GAGTCCTTATGGCGGGCTACAGAAGGGGTCGAGATACATAAAGCAAGAAACGAAGTCTAACTAAGAGATCTCCCTTTCCCCTCAGAGAGGCAAAGGGAGCCTAATGTAACTCCGTCTGTGACTGCAGACGGTTGGAGAGAAACTGGCAGGACAGAACCGCGCTCAGCTGAGAGGCGCGAGCAGGCAGTTGTGCATGCGCGGTCCGGTAGGGGGCTACTGCTATGAAAAATTCCTCCAGTTTGCGGCGCTGGGACAAGCACAGCATCTCGAGTGGAGTACCCACGGGGACACTACTCGATGAAGAACTGTAAAATATCACTATATTGCTTAGAGGTGAGCACCATGAGTTACACCAACATATGCACTGGCATGGACAGAGATATGTTGGCCAGAGGGCTTCTCCCACTGACATAGCTACCGCCTTTCGCAGAGGTGAATTTATTATGATGACAAGAGAACTCTCTCCCATCAGCATACGGCATCTTCACCAGATACGCTACAGCAGTGTATCTGCGCTGCTACAGCACTTATAGGATAGATAATCTCTAAGTTATTCAGAAGACAAACTCCAACATATTCCTATACCTGCTGCCAGAGTGCACGAAGGCCCAGATTTTTAAAGGGACAGTAACTCCTCTCTTAACATTGTAGTTATGTTCTTGAAATATGCTACTTTAAGTGAAACTATGTTAAAAAAATCCCATTTCTCCATAATAATTTTAATGTAAAGAGGGAGAATTAGATTCCAGGGGAATTTTTTTCAGCAGACAAAAGACAATATACACACACAATATACTTTTTAAACCATTTCAAACAATGTAATACTGTACATAGTAAGGATGATTGTGAAGCTTGGTGGAGGTCACTGACTCAGAGGGTGGAATATTTCCCAGGAATGTCTTGCTACAGAATGATGAACTATCATTTGTCTGAACCCTCAAGGATTAACACGTTGTTAATAAAGGTTCACACTCTACAAGGCAGCATGGACTGAGTGATTTAGAGCAGCGTTTCCCAAACTATGGGCCTGGTACCAGGCTGCGGGAAAAAAATACCGGGTAGAGTTGCCCCCGGGTGCCACGGTAGGGGGGCACCAGGCTGGGGTGGAAGCAGAGCGCATAGCGCCATGAGCTGTGGCAAGTGGCAAACCTGGTCTATATGGAAATACTCTCTGTAGGTTTGTGCTACTTCTGATAGCAGTTTCCTATAGGAGTATTTCCTTACAATTGTACAGATAAGAAAATGCTAGCAGTAGCACATTTTTCTAAGGTAGCAGCTTTCTACATTACACGAGCGCTGTTGGGCCACATGATCCCTGTGCAAACAAACCTCCGAGGCAGGGCCAAGCAGCAGGAGAATCATACCGATTAGAAAATGCTCCCTCTAAGGTAGCAGCTGTCGGGCCGCGTGCTCCCTGTGCAATCAAAGCTTCCAAGGCAGGGCCAAGTGGCAGGGGGATAGGGTTATTCTACCTGGCTCTGAGGAAGGGGGAGAGGGATTGGGCTAGGGCAGGGAAGCTGGGGGTGCCTGGCTCTGGGGGATATGCATTGGATTAGAGTGGGGTGGGTGGTGTTCTGGGGCAGAAGGGACATTAGGTTGGAGCAGGTGGGCTGGGGATGCCTGGATGTGGGGGAGGGGTGGGTGCATTGGGGATACTTATAATTTTTTAAATGGAGTACTTTATAAAATATTATAAAGTTGAAAAATGCTGCTCTAAACCAGTGTTTCTCAACCAGTAGTATGACTACCCTCAGTGGTACTTGAGAGAAGTCTGTAGGGTACATCAACACAACTGAAATTTGGAGCAAACTGAATTTTTTGTTTAAGTTATTCAGGTCTTTATAATTTTTGTACTTTTTACAGCCAAAAATTTCATCACCCACCTAGCTAAGATTAAGTTGTTTAAACAAATGTGTTGCAATGGTAGAAAATTTTTGTGTATGTCTGAAAACTGTGCTGGGGATACTCATAATTTTTTTAAAGGGGGGTACTTTATAAAAAAATGGTTGAGAAACACTGCTCCAAACCATTCCTGTTGGCCTCCCTGTTTCCCTTCTCCTTTGGCAAGTTGGGAAGGTAGCAGTTTTGGTAAAAATATATCAGATATGTGCACACAGTACCCTCTCTACCTCAACTTGTGCTGGATAATCCGGGCCTCAATTCTAAAGGTATTAGCATTACTGAGGTGATCAATTCCCTCCATGTGTTGTTGTGGATAGTGCACGTTGGGGCCTGCCCCAAACTGGAAGGGGTGGGGGAAGATGCAGTACATCCCCCGGGGTCCAGCTAAGCCATGAGCCAGGTTCAGGGCCCTATCTCATGGCGGCAGGTGGGGGAAGGGGGGAGATTTTGCTTTTGCTCCTGGGCACATAACACCCTCGCTACGCCTCTGTGTCCTGGTCTCCAAAACTTCTCAAGTCTGTGTACCTTTTCTGGTGGCAGCATACACTACAGAGCAATGGGGATATAGCTAAATAAAACTGCATCCTTACTAATTAGCTGTTAAAAGTATTCAGTATTTGTATAGCACATAGTACATTGGGGTCCTGCTCTATGACGAGGCCTTGTAAGCACTTTGGTAATTCTACTACAGCAAGGCCTATCTCTGCTTCCCAAGGGAAACCTTACTGAAGCAGCAGCTACCCTGCTGCACAAGGCCATTGTTCCAGAGCAGGCACGGTCTGTCTTGAGAAAAATACAGATGTAAGCTAATGCATTCCTTTCTGGTGAGGCTAGCTCAACTGGGCAAAGGTGGATGGGGGAAGGCATAGGGAACAGAAGGACAGCTCAGCTGGGCTGTGAGGGGCTGCAGGGAACTGGTACTGCACTCCCTTGGATTGTGGGGGATGGTTTTGGGGGAGGTGCAGGGAACCAGTGGGGGTGGGCAGCTCAGTTGGGTTGCAGGGGAGGGAGGTGCAAAGAAGCCTAGTGGGGAAGGAGGGAACCAGGAGCCCTGAAATGACCTCCCCTGGTCCAAAAAATCCCTCATCTGGAACCAGTCAGATTTGGGAAACCCTTGTCTAGCCAGCTTTCTATTCATCTTACAGTCCATTTATCCAATCCATATTCCCTTAACTTGCTGGTAAGAATATTGTGGGTAACCATATCAAAAGCTTTGCTAACGCTGGCACTGGGGAGGACCAGAAACAACTTATTTGCATATTCATCATTTGCTTCATGAATATGCAAATGAATGTTCCAGGTCCTCCAAAAACTCATGAATGGATTTACTAGTCCCCATGTCAAAAAGTTCGGGAACCCCTGATTTAGAGTGAGGAAATGCAGCAGACCTGTTTTGTGTAGATGTGGTACAGAGCGGGAGAGCTCAGTCAGAGAGACATCCTGACATCAGCAACACATTGCCTCCAAGTAGGGGACTCCCAGCAGCAGAACTGCCCCCAGGCGCATACAGGACTTTACAGGGAACTTAGGGGAGATGATGGGGGAGCTCCAAGCCCCCCAATGAGGACAGGTTGCTTTTCTAGAAAACCCCGCAAGTAGTGAACAAAGCAAGAGGGCAAACGACTTACAAGAGAGCATTGCACAACTTCAAATGAGCATGTGCTCTAATAGACAAGCAATGTACCAATGAAATAATGTGAACCAGGACAATGTTAAGTGAGGAGTTACTGTGTTTAGACATTGCTGCACTCAGCATTGCCTCACCTGATTCAGAAGTCTAAATATCATTTTCATGTGACTAAAATTCATGCTAATAAAACTACAGTTGGAGACGTTTCCTTCCTCTGGAAAGGCACAACAGACAGATATATAGCATGATAGATGCCAACTCTGTGAGTGCTCAGTACTCACCAGCAACCAAGAAGCTCTCCCGCTGCTCCTCTCCCTTCCAGCGCCTCCCGCCTGCCACAAAACAGCCATTTGGCAGTGGGTCACTCTGGGAGGGAGTGGGAAAAGCGTGGATGCTTGGGGAAAGGAGGTTGGGGTAGAGGTAGGGTGGGGGCAGAGCAGGGCTAGGGAAGACATGGCAGGGGTGGGGCTTGGGGGGGAAGAGAGGTTGTGGGGGTGGAGGCAGAGCAGAGACAGGAAGAGGTGGGAGATGGGGGGGGAAGGGTTAGAATGGCTACAGCAACCCAGCTAGAGAGGAAGTTGGTGACTATGGATAGTGCAGTTTCTATGTCTGCATGAAATATTTACCCCCCCACTTCTACACGAGAGTTCTTTAGTCTTCTACAGCATATAAATACCATGGTAATGTAAAAATTCAGAGCCATGGGTGTTTGATTCAGTGGAGCAAAATTGCCCAATTAAACTCAAACAATGAAAACAGTTGAGAATCCTGGATGCTGGTCATATGATGAAAGGTGCTAATAAAAACAACTATCCATTAAAAAAAGGCCATAAAAACTGTTGGGATATGTAAAATGAATACGGGATGGTGGAAAGGGCAGACATTGCCGTTGGACATGCTCCTTCCCTTCATTTTGCAGCCTAGAAAAATAGATAAGCAAGCAGCTGTTCCACTTTGTTGTGTCTTTTGCTTATCCTCATTGGCGCTGTATAAAATATCTTCAGAGTTAAAATCTTTGTGAGCTCTGTAACCTTTTAGTTTGTAGCATAGGAATGTGTTGATTTAATTAGAAATTCTGTAAATAGTAATTAGGGGTGGGTATAATTGTATTCATTATTTGCTTATTAATATTAATTTTATGGAGTTAACATTACTAAATAAGGTTTTAGGGAAAGTAGTGGTAGATGTGTGAATTAACACACTAAAATAGATAAAAGGGTCTGACTAATACCAGGTTGTTGCCACTCGGACATTGTGTTGAACGTCCGAGGTATACATGTGTAGGCAATAAAGCAGTTCCTTTTACCCCATCTACTCCTGGGTCACCTGTTTCTTCTCTAACAAAAACATTACAAACACACATATAAAGTTCTATGTAAAGCCCTTAAATCACTTCTCATTTCTTGAAAAATGTATAGCATGTTCCACAACACTGAAGGCACGAGTTAAAGACATAACAGCAGTTTACCTGAGGATTTTCTTGGGAACCTGAGATGGTGAAGAATGACTCTTAATTTTCTGTTCAGAATCTTCTGGCAACATCTCTTCCATTTCTGCGTTGTCCTTTGCCACTGTATCTCTATGTGGAGACTCCACTCCAGGCTTGTTCTGGTTGGTGTTTGGTTCAGCCTGTGCTGGTTCACATCTATACATGAAAACAATGGATGGCTTCTCACTGGAGTCTGTTTTTGACTCACTGAACCAATGGTGACGTTGAACTGGAGGAGGAGGCAGCATATGTATAACAGTTCCATCAAGACCCACTAGTTTCCCTTTTTCTCTTTCCTTCTCTTTTTCTTCCTCATCATCAGTCTTTCTGCGACGGAAGAAGCTCTTAAAGGAGATCCAGCGCTTGGGCTTTGCATCAGCAGCTCGTCTACCTTCTGAATGGAGTACTGCCTCTGCCTCTGTGGATCTAGTGGGACTGGTTGGTTTGTTCCAGTTGCTGAAATGTCTTTGCAACAGATTACTTGCATGATAGGGTGAAGAAGTGGAACGTGGAGGGGGAAATGGAGGTGCTTGTTCTATTTTGGGACTTATGATATTATGGGTGCCTGTTACTGGCTTTGAAGAGTGGGTGGTAAGTGGCTTTGAAAGTGTGTCCTTCTGCATTTTAGTGGTAGTGCTTTCTGCGGCATTGGATACTTCAGTATCACTGATGGACTGTGTGGTAAAGAGAGATTTGGGTCGCACCACGTTGCTTTTAATGGTATCTGCATCAGGTGGTAGGGAATATAATTCTTCCACACTGCAAGATTTGGACCCCGATTGAGGTGTTTCTGGAGGAGACTGAGGGGGCTGGATAGAAGCCACGATCTGAGAAAGCACTACATTTGCATTTTCCCTATTACTGCTGCCACTAGAAGCATCCTGTGCTCCTTCCATTTTGGCTGTAGGCTCTTGACTTGTCTTCTGGACTCTGGTTGGGGAACTGTGGCCAGAACTATGGCTTATTTGTGCTGAGGGCTGACCTTTACTGAGACAGCTATTATACTCTTGAATTTTCTGAGCCACAGATCCTAGTCTACACTCTGTGCTATTACCCTTGGGTTGGATAAATTCAGAGGGTTTGCTGGGTATGTTTTCAGAGACTTTGCTCTCTGTTTCTATTTCTTCATATGTGTGGCTTATTACACTTGTAGTTTTATCTTTGATTGATAGTTCTCCACTGGTCCCCAGAAAACTTTTATAGATGGCTAAATTATCATATGCATTTGGATTGATTACAATAGGAACTTTGATAGCATTCTTTGAACTTCTAGCATATGTAGGCTCATCATGAATGATAATTGGGAAAGGTGGCATGCCAGCATTGTTGTAACTATTAAATTTTATTTCAGACAAATTGGGTGACTTTACTGGGATGGTTTTTGAAGAAATATTTGTGGCTGTAGGTGAAGTAGGAGCAGATTTGTGGCTGCTTTTCCTTGGAGGGACTGATGGTCCTGAGCTGTTAGCAATTAATTCCACCTTAGGTATCTTTTGTCGTGGGCTAGTACTAGATGTCCATACTTCTTGGTATCTGACTGCACTGGATTTCTTTAGATTGGCATTTACTCGCCCAGATGATGCAGTAGTAGATATAATCTGTGTACTTAGAGTTCCTGGTGAATTTGGGTTAGAGGGCGTACTGTTTGTATCTGAGCTTTCAGTTTGACCATCCATACATTCATTGGTCATGGCTGCTGACACATCCACTATAGTATATGGCCTGCACACTGGTTGTTCCATATTCACCACTCTGTAAGGTTTGGCTTGATCTTCCATTGGTACCAAGTTTATAGTCACTGCTTGACCAGTAACTTCTGTCGGACTTTTGCTTTCTTGATTATCACTTTGTACTGCAATCTTGCCATCCTTCTCTTCCAATCTAAGTGCAAGAACTGCCTTGTGAGTCTCTAGAATTTTTGTAGTGTTTCTGGAAGCTTTTGACACATCTTTTACTTGCTGCTTATCACAAAGACTCTCATAATCTGGCTCAATCAACTTGATCTCCTTAGGGATACAGGGAGATAACCCTCCATTGCAGAGTTTTTGAGATGAACTGCTGGTTGTTTCAGACCGAGACTCTTCTGTCAAAGAAGAATCAGGAGATGTGGAATCAGATGATACCATACTCTGCAGGCTTTCCTGACCATAAAGGATCACAGTTTCTTCTCCATAACCATTTAGAATTTCATCATAGCTATCATCATAGTCTACGGCACAGATCCTCTGGAGAGACTTGTTCCTTAAAGGCACAGTGTTCCATTTTTTGTCAACACAAAACCGGACAGGAGACAAAGTGTTAGCTCTAAAGTTAGCAAAGCGAGGTTGGCCCCGCATACGAATTTCCATTGCTAGTAACTCTTCATCACTTTCATCCCAACTTTCATGTTCTTCTTGCATGCTGGCAAAAAACATATCATCCTCACTCTCATCTCCACTGGAGAATTCTGGGTAACAGAAGCGCCCACCTTCATTACTTATTACTTCAGTGCTTCCACTCAGAATAACATGCTTACTATGAGAATCCTTCATTCCACCCATCATGCAGCTTGGAGGGATCTGTCTTTCTAATGATCTTTTATAGCAATTATTTATTCTTCCCAAGAACATTTCCTTTGAGTTCATTTCATTTGCTGCTAGCTGAGGTGTGGTGTCCAAACCTACAATTTCCTTTAACACTTCTGTCAGTCCATTATCATTATTATTTGGTATCTTACCTACACTATCATTGTTGCCATAAGGCCTATGAATGTGGCTATAACCTTCAATTTCATCTTCGTTATTATTGTTCGGTGGCTTTTTGTTCAAGACAGCCTTGTTTCGGTTCCATCCTTTAATTATCGGCTTGTTCTCACAATGATCTGGTGTGCTGATCTCACCACTGATACTCTGCCCATCTACCACCACCATGGTGGGTTTCACAGCTATCGTGGGTTTCTTTGCTACAGGGGGTCGGAAATTTCCTGTATTTCTACCACGGTGATTGTTGCTGTGATTTGCATTGGTTTTCAGATTACCATGAGAGAGGGGAGCCTTTTCAGAGGCTGGGGCCAGCTGGTGCAAGCTTTTGGGTTTGAAGCAATTTTTACATTCACCAGGTTTCCAGACGTGTTCAGTGAAGGTGTTGCAAGCAGACATTTTCCCAGAGCTTTGCATCTGATGTTCCAGTGTTCAGTGCATGGTAAGAACTTCATCCATTTGTTTTCACTCTGCTCATTTATTCTGGTTACTTCTTCAAATAGTGATCTTTCTAAAAAATGAAAGAGAGGAAACAAAAGATAAGAATGGGGAAAAGCCATAACATTCAGTGACAAATGAAGGACTTTGTTTACAATCATATTCTGACAATTTCTCCTTTTAAAACACTTACTCCTGGGGGAATTCTGTGCTGCTGTGCAGTGCAAAATTTACAGAGAATCATTGTTCTGTGCAGAAATGCATTCTCTCTTTCAGAGTTCCTACCTGCCACTAAGGACCACCGGTCTGGGCGGAGCCAAGCTCCACAGCTCGGGGGAAGAGAGAGAGAGAGAGAGAGAGAGAGAGAGAGAGAGAGAGAGAGGGAACTGGAGGGTTCCTGGCAACTGTGGTTCCTAGCAGGACATGAAGAAGGAGGCAGCATGTGGGTCATGGCCTCACAGTCAGTTAATCACTCCACCCAGCAGAGATGGAGGACCTGTGCAGTGTCAACTTTGCACCACCCAAGACTGAAATCAGCACAGGAAACTTCATACAAGTCTGGTCTGACTAACATCAGGATGTTTCTCCGTATGGATCCCTGGGCTCTGGGGGGAGAGGATGCAGGTGTTTGGGCTGAGAGAAGCCACATGGCTGGACTCTGGGGCAATGTGCATGTGTGTCTGGCCCTGCGGCTGGGCTCTGTGTGCGGGTGTCTGGCTCTATGGCTGGGCTCTGGAGGGGGTAGAGCTGTCTGGGCTGGGGTGTGCCTCATGCAGCCCCTTTCAGTATCCCTGAAATACACTCTCTCAGTACACACTACCCCCTTCCAACTCCCCACCTCCATGTCCTCTATGTGGAAACCTCTATGGTAACCCTTGGGGGATAGGTCAAAAACCTGAGAATCAAGCAGAAGATTGGCAGGACAGAGCTTTTCCCCAAGATTGCCTAGCTAGCACTTGTGACACACGCAGATTGAGGTGCCCAACCAAAACATAACAGAGAAACTAGAATTGTGTTGTCATATGGGTTTCTTTATCTTTCTACTTTTGGGGCAATCTTTTTTGTTGTCTGTATTGTTAAAGACATATTTGCTGATAGGTATTTTGAAATAAATAACCAAAATAATTAAAAGTGATGTGATTAGATGGCATTATTTTCACAAATAAAAGATGCAAAATTTTGCAGCATTTAAAAATATTGTGCATTGTTGGTTTCATTTTTTGGCACAGATTTCCCCCACGAGTAAACTCTAAATAACACAATAGCCAAGTAGTTTCTATCTGACAACTAAAAGCAGTTTGACTTCCACACAACCAAATATTTGAAATGTAAACCAAATTAGATATAGATTGTGCACTACCAAATTTATAGCCATGAAAAACACATAATGGACTGTGAAATCTGCCCTTCCTCCCGGATTCAGATCTTTTGTTTGCTTTTACCCAATACTATACAGATTTTACAAACAAGACCAGTGATGGTCAGATTGGGAGTCCTGATCCATAAAGGAGTTGCAGGAGAGTGGGGGTCATGGTACTTCTCCCCATACTTCTGCACTGCTTTTAGAGCTGATGGCAAGAGGGTGGTGGCTGCTGGCCAGACACCCAGCTTTGCAGGCAGTACTATGGCAGAAACAGTGTATCAGTAAGGGGGGCACTGCCATCTGAAGGATCTTAGGAGGCAGGTAACTGACTAATTGTGTAGTCGATACAATTTGTACCAACCACATGATTAGTGGACAAAGGAAGGTGCTCTGCCCCGGCTTGCACCAGTCCAGGAACTACCCCTGGCTCTGCAGTTCAAGTGTAGTAGGAGATGGGTGCGCAGACAGCCCGGCTCCTACAACATTTAACCTGTAGAGCCGTGGTCCCCAACCCGGTGCCCGCGGGTGCCATGGCGCCCGCTGGGCTCTTTACATGCGCCCGCGGAGCAATCTGGGCTGGCAGGTGCCAGCCTCGGGCGCATGGCCGGTCCCGGCCCCGGGGGCGCCGCACGTACCCTTGCCGGCTCCGGCGCCGGCCTTGGCCCCGTCC